TAATCCATGGCTTCAGCTTGGGGAGACAGTGAGGTGAAAAAAAATATTTTTTTCTGTTATTTAGGGCTTTTTCGATTTTTTTTCTTTTGTTGTTTTGATGCATTTTATTAATTTATCTATTTATCAACATCAAACATTTTTCAATAAAATTTAAAGATATCTAAAGTAAATACAAAAAGCTACAGAAACCACCTTTTACATTTAAGAGGAAATGTTCCTAAACCTACAGTAAGCCTCATCACTCCAGTCCTACAAAGTTTGAATAGAAACTGTTTGCATATAAAGTAGGCTTATAAGCCTGAAAAGGCAACACATTTAGCCTTAATCAAAGAAATTTAAAAATAGGTCAGAATCAACAGTTTTGACCTACATTAATATATAAAGCATTCCTGTCAGGCTCCTGACGAATGTGAAGTCTTCATCCACAGGTAGAGAAAACTTTCTTATTTGGAATAGGTGGACTACCAGAACCAAAAGCAACAATGGTGATCCTCAAGAGTATAAGAAAAGTCTTTCCAGGGTTGTTGAGACAAAAGAGGCACTTTTCACAAAGCAAAAAATGTATATACTAATGCAGGGTTTAGGGTCTTGAAACAAGTGAAAACATTTGGTCATGCGATCATTTCAATTAACAAGCTTTCTTGAATTAAGACTATATTCAAATAAGAAATAAATGAATTGAAAAGATACTTTTGTATTTTGTTGAGAACCAATAATTTAAAGTGCAAAGGTCATATTTCCTGCACACATCATTCTAAGAATAGAACATCAGATCGATAGTCAACATTTATGTGGTAGTGTGGTGATCTGGATCTACTTTTCTGCTGGATAGCATCCCATAATTGATAGAAACATTAACTCGGCTCTAAAACAGAAAGTCCTGGTGAAGATTAACTGGCCATTGGGTTGCGATCTTGAGCTCAAGTGTACTTGGGTTTAGCTGTGGGGAAATTATCCATAGCATATTAGCAAGTCCAATGGGCTTGCAGTGGGATAAATTACATTAAAGTTTATTGTCAGATGAAAAAATATGTTTAAAAAGTGTTAAAGGAGTGTGGAAACGTTTGAACAAAACTGTCTCAGAAAAAAACAAAACAAATGCAGTGATAGCTTTATGTTTATATATTTAATATGTAATACTAAGACAATCCTAATCCTTGCAAAGTCTCTTTATATTTTAATAATCAAATCATTTTATCAAACTTGAAAAATGAATAAAAACCTGAGTAGAATATTTTAAGGAGGGAAACTATCTATGAGCCTCCATCTTGGAGAATGCTGCCCTCTAGTGTTAAAATAAATTAACAACATCAGTACACAACTTCACATTTTTGTATTCTTATAGTTAGGAGGGGAAAAGATTCACTTGTCAAGGATTCAAATATTTTTTAATCAAAGCACAATTCAAAATAAAAGAAAAAAAAAACAAAAAAAATACATTTTTTGCACTTTTGCAGATAATTAAAAACAAATACAAAAGAAAGAAAGAATATTAAAAGTTGGAATAAGAATATCTTCTTATGCTGCTTCAACCCCAAACTCAGTCCCTAAAACCTACAAAGAAGCATTTTCACAGCTGCGTTGTACCCTATGGGAGAATCAATTCCTTTCAATTTTATGTCTGGTTCTTGGCAATGTTAACACATTTTAGTTGAAGAACTAGAGAGTTTGAGTCTGTGGCTTTTACAAAGCTGAATCAGACCATGCAGGGTTCTTAAGGTTTGTATGGAGATTTAAAATAAACTCCACAATCATGAATAAACAAATAAAAAAATAAAACAGGATTGATTTAGCTTTTTAATTTTTCCTAGTTGGAGGTGTTTAGGATCAACCAAAGGCAATCGAGACTTTTTTTTTTTCAATACATGTGAAAATTTAGTTAACTAACCTAGACAAGAAGAAACAGGAGCAAGAAGTACAAGCTCATGGTTTCCCACCAAACTTCTTAGTACTGAAGTACTTCTTAAATAATGAAAACGGCTTTAAAATGTCAAAACATTTCAAACAAACAAACTGTCCAATATGCTGGATGAAATGAATCATGCTTTGGGGCATTGATCAGACAGGCTGCTTTTTCTCAGATTTTTTGAATGCCCAATATCTGCATAAAGTGATAGATACCTATCTGATATATGTTTAGATTCTGTTTCAAAAGTAAAACCTGGAGCACTCCATAAAAAAGTTTAGGAGATCCCCAACAAATTATAAAGTCTCCTAAAGCAAAAGGCTGTGATTAACCGTTAAAGGATCACAGAAAATCAAGCAAAACTAAACCAGCAAATAACACTTACGGTAATAAAAAAAAAAGAGAAAACATTATTTAATAAAAGAATAACCATTTAAGAAAACAATAAAATAAAACAAATGTACAAAAATAAAGAGGAAAAACAACAATATAGTTACAGTAGTAGTACTGAAAACCTCTCTGCTCAGTCATAGGTATGTAGTCAGTAGCATGCAAAGGTGTGGACCAACTCAAGTTAGGCTTTAATCACAGATTTATTGTCTTAAGATTTGAGTTGGTTGTATAAAAAAAAAAAAAAAACAATTTAGTTAAATATTTACAAATATAAAGATTGTAATAAAAGAAAGTATAGCTCCTTGCTAATAAATAAGAATTGAACCATAGGATTTTTGTCATTGGGTTAGCAAGCTGTCCAGTATTGAACTCCTCCTTTCACCCATACATTTCTGCCCCAGCCCCCCTTGACCCTGAATGAGAGGTCAATGACCTCTCATAGCGGTTCTAGAATATATTTTCTAGAGGGGGCCATGTGTTTTCATGGGGGCACAGAAAAGCATTAAAAAAAGTACAATATTTTTAAAATTTTTTCAAATATATAAAGAGAGCCACAGAACCGAAGAGCCTATTGTGTCTCCGCATCGAATAGAATGAAGTTTCTCAATGAGTTTAATGAAATGTAATATTATACCAACTGAAAATGTGTAGATTTGGCTTGAAAATTTTAAATTCATTTACGTAAAATAAAAAAAATAAAAATCTTATCATGGAAGAAAAAGAGCATGTAAAATAGTTAGTTGTTTAATAAACATCAACTGAAAGATAAAATTAAGCTATTATTTGGAATATTTGCTCAACATTCACTCACAATTCAAGAACGAAACATATTTTTGACTTATTTTAAATAATAATCACCAGTTTTAATCAAAACAGAATTAGAACTTAAGTAAAAGTGATCAATTCAGTTGAAACAACTTGGAGTTATTCTTTTTTTTTCCTAATTCTTTTAGTATTATGTCTTAAGTTCATAGGGCAGTGCCCCTGTTGGTCCCTGTTTAGAACAGCTTGTGCAAATGATGGAAGATTGACAGATAGACATATAAGACTTAGAAAGCATGTGCACCTAGGATTTTTATTTTTTAACTTTTTTGGTGAGGTATTAAAAGTAAAAGGAGATTTAAATCATAATCATGAGTATCCGTTTCACTAAATTGTATCGATTCTACAAAAAAAAAAGTATTTTTCTCTTTAATGTATCGTTATATCAGGTCCCATTCTTTTTTTTTCTTTTTTCCCAGTACAATTTTATTTTTTTCTGCAAAGAACATTACAGAACAACCATATTGCACTATAGGTATTCTTAACAACCATTTTTTTTACAGATATTTTCAAAAGTTGTAAAGATGTTTACCAGTAAAGTAAATGTCCTTGTTTTATGCAAAACAAGAAACAGTAAGGAAAAAAAACAACAACAAAAATAAATAAAATAAAATAGTACATCTATTAAATAAAAGTAAACACTAGGGGGAAACAGCTGTCTAAATACGAAGATTAAAAAGGACAACAGCTTCTTGAGTTTTGTCAATGTATTGTTTGAGTTCATGCTTAAAAGCAGTAATGCACGGTTTGGAGCCTCTATATTTACATTTATCTATAAAGAACTTAATAATAATAATCAAGTCAATTACATATACCTTATCTCATCTCTTTGGTTGAACCTTGCAATTTCCCTTAATGCCGAATAGTATATTCTTCCAAAATAAAAGAAAAGCTTTGTCTATTTTTCTTTTAATTAAGTAATAAATGTCTTTCCAGAAGGACTGGATAAGTGGGCAGTTCCAGAATAGATGAACAAGTGTTTCAGGATTACTACAGCAGAAGCTGCAAGTGACATTATGTGTTTTTTAAAGTGTTTCTGGATAAAGACTTTGGTAGGATAAATGTTATGGATTGTCTTAAATGAGATTTCTTTAGTTTTGTTGTTTATCAAATATTAATTTGGAAGCAGCCAGACTTCTTTCCAGTTGATGTAATCTAAGAATCTTCCCCAGTGTGAGATTGCATAAGGTATCACTTTAATGTTCATTTGAAATAAGGCTCTGATTGATTGATTTATTGAAACTGCAGTCCCTTTTTTCTTTTCTTTTTTTTTTATTCAACAATTGCACAGTTTACATGAATACATGAACATTCCTCTCCATTGTGAAAATAATACACTGTGCAGTATCCAACATTGCTGGTGTTTTAACATAAAAAATAAAATAAAAAGAAGATTTACATCATCACATTTTGCCAGGGAAAGTACAAATTTATAAAAAGATATTAAATTGTTTACAAACATTTATAGATTTTGTTGCCTTTTGATTAAGAGAATACTTAATTGTGTTGACATATTGCTTGACCTCATTGTTAAAAGCAATAAAAGATATTTTGGAATGTGCAAACTTACATTTATGAATGTAAAATTTTGCCAAGAGAATAATCAGATTAATAATGAAAGTTTCATTTGGTCTAGTCTAAGTACTGTTGAGGTCATAAAGTCCAAAAAGGACATCCTTCCAAAATAACTTTAAGTCCCTCTCAATTTGTTCTGCAATAAACGTACAAATGTCAGACCACAGATTTTGAACAAAAGTGCAATTCCAAAACAAATGGGTTACTGTTTCAACACTCTTTAGAACAAAAAGTTGCGGTCCCCTTTTTCTTCGAAGAGGCCGCCGCGCGGCTGACGCAGCTCCGCGCCCTGACCACGTGACCAGTCGCATATGGCCTCTCGGTCCTTCCTTCCTTCCTTCCTTCCTTCCCAAGGTTCAATGAGCGCCGTGTGGCCCCACCCTCAGCGCCGTCTGCCTCTTCAATGTAGCCTACTCTTCTCGGAGGAAGAGAAAGGAAGAAAATAATAACAACTCCCTCCTGAGGACTCGCTTCTAGAACCGTGTATCACCTCCTTCGTCCAGCGCGCGGCGGCGGCCCCCTTCCCCCGGAGAGTAGCGGCCTTACACGGTGGGAATTCACTGCTTCGATAGCATCGCGTCCTATTGTTTTCCTTAATGTAAATTCACATGTAAGAGTGTCAATCCTGTGGCGTGTTTACCCTCAGAGGAGGAGGAGGGGGGGGGGGGGGGGGGGTTCTGTAAATATCTGTTTATGTGATAGTCTGTGGGTGTGTAAACATTTAGAGGCCGTGTTAAAAAGTGAAGCCTGATAGCGGGGGTTCATTTATTTCTCTCTTTTTTTTTTACCTGCAAAAAACGTGGATACATTTCGAGGGATTCTCTTCTTCTTTTTCTAAAAATGTCTTTTCTCTCGTTGAAGGATTCACCTGGAGCTTCCATTAAATGAAGGAATAAACAGGCTGTCCGTGCGCAGTTTTCTGGAGACTCTGTGGTGATGTGAAGGACTGATAACACATTTCTGCAACAAAAGAGAGGGAGGGGGGAAAAAGAGAGAAAATACAGCAAGGAATAGCCAGCCATCACAAATAAGGAGGACAAATTGGGGGGGGCTCCTGGAGGTGGCGACAGAAAGACAACCGCAGCGAGTTTGGAGCTTGATTTGATGCGGAGAAGGAGCCGGAGGACGACGGAAGAAGAAGATCATACATGTAGCTAGTTACATATAATTTCCCCGTTCGCTAGGTGGCTACCCGACTAAAAGACAATTATAATAAACACTCAAACGGTGGAAGTGGACATGTTTGTGGCCAAAGACGACGCGGGGACGAGCACCGCCTCAGCCCGGCCGAGGCTTTCGGACACGCCGAGCTCAGCTCCCTGTGGCGGGCAGCAGTGAGACGCGAGACCCCGGCTTCACGGAGATGCTGTTTAGGCTCGTTTCGCTGCCTCCGTTCGAGGTGAAATCTCGCTTTTTGGCGTCATAGCGACACGCCGTGGATTCTAATTAAAAACCTATCTTTTCGGGGGGCGGGAGCGGGGGGAGGAGGGAGAGTTAATAAGGAGCAAAGTGGAGTTGAATGTGTGGGGTGGGGGTGGGAGGGGGTCAGGCGGCCTCCAGCAGCAGCAGCAGGATCCTGCCCTTTATTTTCTTCTTCTGACAGCAAAAGACTCTTTATCCGCACAGCATTGTTTTCCAAACAGTAACTGAGTAAATGTGGGTCACATTGCTGCCAAATCCGAGGGTCAAACCAGGGACCTAGACAACTATTACCTGTTTATTTTCCTTTCTTCATACTCCCCCTCCCTTCAGTGCTCCTCTTCCTCCTCCCTGGAACCCTCCATCCTCCTCCCCAACTCCCCCCATATTGCTTTTCTTTTTATTTCTTGAGGGAAGATGGGTTGTTTGGGTAATAGTAAGACTGAAGACCAGAGAAATGAGGAGAAGGCACAAAGAGAAGCAAACAAAAAGATTGAGCAGCAGCTCCAGAAGGACAAACAGATCTACCGAGCAACACACAGACTACTACTTTTAGGTGAGTGTGTTTCTGTTGCATCACTTTTTCCCTTCTTGATGCATTGTCTTGTATTGCAAATCATGTCCAACTGTCCTAAAGTTTGGATCTATGCATAAATTCCTGCCTTTGTCCACCATCTCTATTTCCTTTTCAATGATCGATCTATCCAAATTCATCCACCTATCCACAGAGGTGTCAAGTAACAAAGTACCAATACTTCGTTACTGTACTTAAGTACATGTTTTAGGTATCTATACTTTACTCCATTACTTATTTTTCCTCCTACTTCTGACTTCTACTCATTACATTTTCACACAAGTATCTGTACTTTCTATTCCTTAATTTTTAAAACAAACGTTACTTGTTACTCTTGGCTTCAGTTTTATGTTTATACATTTTTATTTCACGTCATGTGCGCCATCCAATGCAGATCATTGGCTCCTTCCACATCTAGTGAAAACCAGTGTAATTGGATGAGTCGTATAACGCAAACACTTATTGGTTAGGTAAAGGAAATCATCAGAAGCAAGCAGGTGTTCTTCAAACTGTAAACATGAATTGTCTATGCCATGCTACAATGTGGGATTCAGAAAAATATGTTGAAATGTCTGAAAGGTCGGACACAGGCGAGGGCCTATCGGGAGATGAAGACCAACAAGACCTCCCTCATCCTTGGCCCTATCTTAAAGAATTTTTCAAAATTGTGAAATATTGAGCTTTCAATTCATTTAGTGGCTGTTTTTTTGTAAAGGTTAGTTTATAGTTTTATACTTTAAGTAGTTTTTGGAGCCCATACCTTTTCACTTTTACTTGAGTAAAGAGGTCAAGTTAATACTTTTAAGTAACAAATGTTTGTGTTTTTGACACCACTGCTTATCCATCTGTCCATCATTCATCCATCCAGGGCTACAAAATACTAGAAAAGCCTGCCATTACAATATTAGTAATGCTTCACTAATGTAGTTATTTCCTCCCTATGCTTCAGACATCACAATGTTTCTCTTTCAAATTAATAGCCATGTCAGTTGTGGATGTGAGGAAAAGTGAACATCTGTCCAGTTTTCCCTATGCGTTATTGGGAAGTTGATTTATCAATGCAGCCCTTTGCAACCCCAAACCTGTAAACATCAATGTTCCATCCATCCTTGGTGTCTGTTTTTAGGTTCCATCTTTAAAACCTGACTCCCATGAAAACATCCGCTATAAATTCAGGGTGAATCTCTCTGTGTAATTTACTAATAACATGAACAGGCTGAGACAAATGCATACCACATAGTTTGGACTAAATGTTGATGTTTTGCCCTTTTAAAGTTTGTATATTGTGTTAAAATGCCTCTACTCAGGTGGTCGAAGTGTTTTCATACTTAAAATGCTTCAATGCAAGTTCTGCATTTTGCCAAAGTTCTGGTGTATATGACCGGCTGATTAACAAAAAATAAACACATCAGATGGATTAGATTCGCATTCAAACTGGATGCTCCAATTTTTTTTAACTCTCCATTCTGCTTTATTATTTTTTAATCTAAATGAAAGTCTATTTTCGATTAAACGTTTTATGTGAATGCACACAGCATACATTTTCATAAAAGTTGGTTATATCCATGTGATGCTAGCATAAAGTTTACGGCTAAAGGATGTCATATTTATTGCTTTTTTTGTTTGTTTTTGTGGAGCTGAAACTTTTATTTAGACAAAATTTAATTCTTACTAAATTATTTGGGGTATAGTTTTATTTTTTATTTTTTCAGAAATGTAGATAGGAAACAGACACCAAAGCAACTTTCTGAATAGCTGCACATAAGCAACACCATATCTGGTCTGCTCTTCCTCTGTAGGTACCAGATCTGCTCTGGGTCTTGCCTCTGCTGATGACATCACAATAGGGCAACACCACTCAGACAAACTGTATTGCATCCATTCTTTAAGAATCAAATCTCTTTGAGAGTTTCAACTTATTACCTACATTTGCTGTTAATTTACGTTTCTTTGGCGACCTCAGGTAGCCGAAAGTAGAAAACAATCAATCTCAGTCCTGAAGGCAAGTACTGTCTTCTAAGTCTGAGCTCTGCCATTTAATAAGGTGACACAAAAAGTCTCAGTACTATTTTAGATCTCAGGGCAGGGGAGTACAAATTTAACATCTTTATTCTACATTTGTACCAAGGTTTTACATTTAAATTGTTAAATATTTTCAGCTTTGTTATCAATCAGGTAAAACTTCATCAGTTATTACATGCTAATGCTACAGATGCTCTCGATTCGGCACACGGATGCTGCCTTATGTTGTTGTTGTCCGGGTGACCATGATGTCAAAATTTTGATTAATTTTAAAGTAACTTATTAAACTACTCGAGTTTAATTATTTTTATGAACCACATTAGTTGGAATGATTTTTGAGTTAATCCCAGATGAAAACACATTTGTCATCTACAAACAAAAGCAACCTGTCAATATTATTGTTGTGTTTTTTAGTTTTATTTTAGCTGAAACTCTTTAAACTTCATAATGAATTTCTTTCAGCTGTTGCAGATGTTTCATCATTAAACTCATATACAATGTTTTATTAGTTTTTTTTTTAAGGTATTGTGGAGGCTTTTTGTGTATTTTTTAAAGACCCTCCCTCTGCACTTAAAAAAAAAAAAAAAAAAAAGCACATGCACAACTCTGTGTACCTGCTCCTGAATGGGAACACCTGTTCAACGTGCGAGAGCGTGCACAAGCCCATTTCTCCTCGTTCACACTTTTTTTTTTTTTTTTACGTTGATGTTCTCATAGCTCATACAAGCTTACTGTGTCCGAAGGTCCACTCTAACCCCTAAATGCCTCAATCACTATATAGAGCAGGGACTACAGGTGCTGGTCATAAAATTAGAATATCATGAAAAAGTAGATTGATTTCAGTAATTCCATTTAAAAAGTGAAACTTGTATATTATATTCATACATTACATACAAACTCATATATTTCAGATGTTTATTTTGTTTAATTTTGATGATTACAAATGACAACAAATGAAAATCTCAAATTCATCATATCAGAAAATTAGAATATTACTGAAGACCAATAAAAACAAAGGATTTATAGAAATGTTGGCCAACTGAAAAGTATGAACATGAAAAGTATGAGCATGTACAGCACTCAGTATTTAGTTGGGCCTCCTTTGGCCTGTATTACTGCAGCAATGCGGCGTGGCATGGAGTCGATCAGTCTGTGGCACTGCTCAGGTGTTATGATAGCCCAGGTTGCTCTAATAGTGACTTTTAGCACTTCTGAATTGTTGGGTCTGGTGTATTGCATCTTCTTCTTCACAATACCCCATAGATTCTCTATGGGGTTAAGGTCAGGAGAGTTTGCTGGCCAATTAAGAACAGGGATACCATGGCCCTTCAACCAGGTACTGGTAGCTTTGGCACTGTGTGCAGGTGCCAAGTCCTGTTGGAAAATGAAATCTGCATCTCCAAAAAGTTGGTCAGCTGCAGGAAGCATGAAGTGCTCTAAAACTTCCTGGTATGTGGCTGCGTTGACCCTGGACCTCAGAAAACACAATGGACCAACACCAGCAGATGACATGGCACCCCAAACCATCACTGACTGTGGAAACTTTACACTGGACTTCAAGCAACGTGGATGAAGTGCCTCTCTTCTTTTCCTCCAGACTCTGGGACCTTGATTTCCAAAGGAAATGCAAAATTTACTTTCATCAGAGAACATGACTTTGGACCACTCACCAGCAGTCCAGTCCTGTTTCTCTTTAGACGCTTCTGACGCTGTCTGTGGTTCAAGAGTGGCTTGACACAAGGAATGCGACAGCAGAAACCCATGTCTTTCATACGTCTGTGTGTGGTGGTTCTTGAAGCACTCACTCCAGCTGCAGTCCACTCTTTGTGAATCTCCCCCACATTTTTGAATGGGTTTTGTTTCACAATCCTCTCCAGGGTGCGGTTATCTCTCTTGCTTGTACACTTTTTTCGACCACATCTTTTCCTTCCCTTCGCCTCTCTATTAATGTGCTTGGACACTGAGCTCTGTGAACTGCCAGCCTCTTTAGCGATGACCTTTTGTGTCTTGCCCTCCTTGTGCAAGGTGTCGATGGTCGTCTTTTGGACAACTGTCAAGTCAGCAGTCTTCCCCATGATTGTGTAGCCTATAGAACTAGACTGAAAGACCATTTAAAGGCTTTTGCAGGTGGTTTGAGTTAATTAGCTGATTAGAGTGTGGCACCAGGGGCCATCAATTTTGAACCTTTTCACAATATTCTAATTTTCTGATATGATGAATTTGAGATTTTCATTTGTTGTCATTTGTAATCATCAAAATTAAACAAAATAAACATCTGAAATATATGAGTTTGTATGTAATGTATGAATATAATATACAAGTTTCACTTTTTAAATGGAATTACTGAAATCAATCTACTTTTTCATGATATTCTAATTTTATGACCAGCACCTGTATATAGTGGACTTTATAGAGAACTCTGTATACTTATCGTTCGGACAGATGATCACTGCTTTTTGCTCCCCGTTGGTCACGTAACTCCTCCATTGCGCTCTGCCTGCGTCATCTTTGTTATTAGCCATCGCTGTGACAGCAAATCCCATAATGCTTTCTGCAAGCATGCTGGGATATATCTGCCTCTTCTGAGGCCTTTCTTTTTACACTTCGTAGACACTTTTTCTCTTATGACCATCGGCCATTTTCAAAGAACACGATGAGAAAGGTGAGCTTCAATGATTGTCCGAAACCGTAGCTCACCACATATATACACTCGAAAGTGCTCATGCACCGAAAAAGATAGCTAACGGGACGAGCACGTAGGACGGCGTCATGTAAACATATCACTAGGATGATTGACAATTAGAAGGACCACTTATTTAGACGATCCATCCGGAAATAAGAGATCATACTCTATACCTTTACATAACATCTAAACCACTTATAAGTGCCTGGAATCCCATCAGTCTATAATGTGGTATGACAATAACCTTTTCTAATCTAGAAGTGATCCTTTTGCGTAT